TTTTGAGCCCTGTCATTTTAACTGGTTTACTGTTAGTAACATACAGAGACCTTGTGCTTGATGCCTGTGACAACCAACTTGCCAAAGATAAATATAGTCTGTTCTCATTTCTGGAAGTGGAACGCTTCTGATTTTGCGTCCTTACAGTTCTGAAACTGCAAAGTAAATTAGGGTTATCTCTATGGAACAGCAAACAATTTTGAACCGACTGAACTTTCAAACATCACTCACCTGACATGAGAAACTTATGTCTGTACATTTTTCCTGAATTATTAAGACCCATGTTTGTTTTTGTGCGCCTATTTTTCCTAATGTGTTTTTCCAGTGATTTAACTCGTCATTTATCTATCTGTCCATAAGTATCCAGTAAATAAGAAGTAATACATTTAAAAGGTGTTAAATGAGGCAATTTTCTTGCTAGAATTTAATTGTGATGTTTGAAGTCTCATGGCAAGTAACTTCAATAGACCTGTGGGGAAGTTTATTTTTATTTCTTTTAATCCAGATTCTTTTAACTGAGCAGGACTAAATTAATATAAAGCTGGCAAGTCATAGAGGCAGTAAGACCGTGCAAATAATAGATCATGCATATGATTTGACTAAAAGAAATGAGCAGATTATATGTGCACGGGTGTGCTTAATATGTTTCACTTCATCAAGGAGCAGCGCCACAAAGCAGGCAACAGAGTAAGGGCATGGTCTTAAAGGAGGAACGGAGCCAGTGCATCCGGCCATGAACACGCTCTCACGTCTTGTAGACATAGTTTAGGTCTTTGTATTCACACAATTGTTAACAGCTCTTATAACGAACCCAATTTTTATTTTATTTTAGGACTTTAAAATTTGATCAATTTATTTATGTTGTTATGTCATATTTGTTTTGTTTAATCTATTTAATCCAGATTTATAAATATATACATACAAATTAGAAGTTTAACTGAGAATTATTGCCCACTCAGTCATAACCCAAATGAATCATCCAAACCAGGTTGGTCATCTGTGTGCTTTTACAGTTGGCTCCTCAGTCTCCTCCAGCCTCGCCCCAGAGACCAAATGCATCATTTGAGGCTCATACAATTCACTGCTTCCCCAGCCACTGACTCCTATCCGCCTGATAGAGGCATTTTTCGCCACTTAGGAACATGCACTGTGTGTCCGATCCCTTCCTCCTTAATATGTCCTCTATTACCATCAGGCATTTATGCTCATTTTTTCTACTTCAGTAACCACTGAGCACAGGCTTCATTAAAACTAATTGAATTGGAAACATGTCCGCCTGAGGAAACATTAACTCCTTCTATAAAGGAATTTCCGATTTCATTTTGTCAATAAGGTCAAAGGACTGAGCCCATGCGCTCAATACTGATACATACTTTGCCCATAAATATAAACTGTATAGCCTATAAAGTGTAGGACTATTTCATTTAGACAGATAATGTCCCATCTATCAGAAGTGCTAAACTTTTGATGTTTCTGTTGATTATGTTTAATTTTTCAAAGAAGTCCCTTTGTTTTTACCCCAAATGTAAATTTCCATGCAGGGACTCAAAGAAAACCTTTGTCTGCTATCATGTTCTGTCAGTTTCAATGCATTATTAATTTCTTGTGGTTAGCATAATTGAGTCTTGGTACAAGCATTACATTAATGGATTTTACTGACCACACTTGAAACAATAATTTGATGGCATCTGTCAGAAATCAATGTGCAATAACAGAACAAGCACAGCTGTTTAATATGAGGTAAATATTTATGAGTGATCTGACTAGGCATCAAGTTCAGTCAATCTTCTTTGAAAGGAGTTGTGCGAATGATTAACCTCATTTTACTGGTGCTGTCTGGGTTGGTAATGGCCATTAGAGCTAAGAAGGACTGAGGCCTTTGATTTTTTGCTTCTCATCATTCACAGCTTGTCGCATCCCTTCATCCTTCATACATGGCTGCTGAATTGATTGTCTGTTTAGTCCTATGAATGATAAAGCTGCCCTGGGCCACAGGCTGAGAGGGACAAGCACGACTCACCTCCCATCTATATGCAAGGTGGTTTTCTTTTCCTGCCGCGCCATTCGAAACTCAGCTTTTTGCATTATTTATTGAACAATCATCAGCATTTCAATATGGTAAATCAAATAGTCACAGCTATATAACTATAGACAGTTGTATCCGAGGGGCCATCACTCAGCTCATTATTCATTCATTTTGTTTAGAGCTGTGGTCGGCAGTACTTGGGAGATCCATAAGTTGTGTAATCAACATGTTTTACTGCAGGCTACAACAACCAAGTGCTTCACTGCCTCTGCTGAGAAAAAAGTAACACGGGCAAAAGTAAAACTGAGGTCTAGTGAAGACTAAATGAATGAAATGTCTCAGAGTCACTGAAAAGAGCCATATAACCTGGCCGCTGAAGATTGCAGGGGAATGAAACCATAATGACTTTCATTTGAAGGAAAGCAAGACAATAAAGAGCAAGTGTCATGAAATCTGTCTTCATGGATTTTTCCACATCTCAGTAGCTCACAAGATTTCTCAAAAGAACTCCTTTTTGTACCGTAAAATAGGTTCAGTGCCACATATAAAAAGTTAATAACTGATTATGCTTAAGTGTAACTCAATCTTTCTTTAATATAGATTCAGAGAACATAGAAAATCTGGCAACTGTGTTCTCTCCAGACAAAGCTGCCCACATCAGGTAGGTGGTTTGTTTTTCTCCTTTAGGTTTGTACCTCGAGAAGTATTCCTCTAACATAACTGGTTCTTGAAGTGTGCTCCTTATTGCAGAAAATGGCTTTATGCTATAATAACATTACTCCGGTATGAACCGACGTGTGGCTGCCACTAGACTTTTCTCCGAAGTTCTAATGAAGCATCAAAGCCTCGGCCACCAAATATAACAGATGAAGCAACAGAGTTATCTTGGATTTTTAACTTTTTAACTCAATTATTGGACTTCAAAAGGAAAATTAACAAAACATAATGAGAAAATAATTCTCTTCAAAGACAGAAACAGAATGAAAAATCTAGAAAACATTTTTTTTAAGGATGAGGAGACTAAACGCCGGTGTTCTGAACTCATATTCACAGCCACATATGTTAACCTGTCATACTGCACCACAGAATTTGAGAAAAAGTGCAGCTGTGCATGCAACTTAATCCTCCATGTCACCATGGGTAGCGTGTGTGTGTCTGTGTGTGTGTGCTGTAATATGTAGTGCTGCTGTAATTGTGGAGCAGTGTCCTGAGAGGCAGGGAGTCAGCTATATAACATGATGCCTTTCTCACTTCGTGTCCAAACACTTGGGAGCAGATGTACTGTTCGGCTGTGTTCTCTGAGGACTGGCCGGCTTTGGTTGCATGCGTGTTCAGCACAGGCCTAAACAGCTGGAAATGTATCCTTTTTCTTTTGTCTATCCACTTATCCTGACATGGTCCTGTCCATGTTTTCGCTGATATCCGGAGTGCACAAGAAATTATGTCCAATTGAGTTTGTATAATTATGCACAGACAATGACAGAAATATCAGCTACACGTGCCATTTATTGTATTGAGAAAGACATGTTTAAAACTGTACTTAGAGTCAACAGAGGAAATTTGTGACATTGTACTGCACCCATTCAACAGATCTGCTAAATGTCAGCAAACTGGTTCTGAATGTAATCCCAATTTGCCTTGGAATTAGCGTTTTACAGTGACGATCTCATCATTTAGACACTTTATTGCCTGCTGCTATTATCTCTCAAAATAAGCTGTTCCCTTCATTTTGATCATGTGATAAATGTGGATAAGTCCCAGACATGCCTCAGAGCCAGCTTCACTTCTCTCCTCTGACTATCTAAAGGAAAGACTTTGTGACAGCGGCCCTGCTCCACTTTGCTCGGCCGTGCTGGTTGCTCTATATATTTCTAAATTCCGTTTACCGTGCGTTTAGACTACATTTTTAGAAAAGCAGCAACACCTCAGAGGTGGTTTGAATGGTAGTTGCATAAGTGTAATTATTAAATGGGATTAAAGGACATGCATTAGTTGGTTTGAACTGTCTCGTGTCATACTCAGAAAGTGGAAGGAGAAGTGAGCGGCAGGAGGCACCGGCCAGGAGTCCAATAACAACAGGCTCACTATTAAACTCATCAAACAGCCTGGATTACTTTGTCTTTTTTTCATCAGCCACCGGGTGCTGAGTAAAAGTAGAGTGAAAAGTAGCTAAACAGCGGATAAAAAGCCGTCAGGTTTCCCGTTAGATGGAGCGCTATTGTGCCTCTCAGCCGGGCAGCGTTTGCTCCTCCTGTCCACCTGCGGTCAGCGCACGCACGGCCGAATCCGTACGGCCGCAGAAGAGCAGTCTGTTCTCTGATTTATCGCTCTTATTTTCAACAACAACAGCCATGCCGGCTAAATAATGCGAAGAATGACACATGGCATGAAACGATTTAGATTTTTTTTTTTTTAAAGAAGAATTCAAAGCGGAGTAAAAGTTTAATTTGCACTGATGTTGAATCCTCAAAGAGTGTCCTCTGGGATGGACTTTATAGGCAAATACGATACCTGTTTTAGGATTATTAAAATTGTAAGATCCTTTTATACTTTCCCATTTTCAGGTAGACTTCTTTTTCAGACAAAGATAGATTAGAAAAATGATTACGAGCCAGAAAAGGACAAATAGAAATGCCATTTTCACTATGCTGAAATAGAAATATTTTTAAATATCTCGAAGGTGAGAGGTTGATTGTTTTAGTAAGAATTATTTGAAAATGAAATATTTGATGACTGAAGAAGTCTGATGAAGGCGTAACCAAAACGATGGCAATTCTGTAATTATCAAAATGTTTGCGAAGCTGTGAATAGTTTTGTTTAAATAGAGAATCCAGACTTAATAAATAAATAAATAAAACGATGATATCTTCATAGTTTTTAAATGCGTTTACTCATTTGAACTAAACGGAAAATCTTTTCAGAATTTGTTTGAACGACACAAAAATAGACATTATTAAGGTTACTGATATTAAACGCGTCTGAGTGCTGGAACATTGTACATATGGAAATTAAATCGTTTTCTTTTGATAAGAAAAACGTTGAGCCAAAGTATCTCATTTCTATTTCAAATTGAAGTTACAATATTAATTCCAGAGAAAGTATTTATCAAGAAATTGATTTAAAAGTTTTATTTGTAAACATTAAATATTTCTTTCTCTCTAAAGTTGTTTTTAATTCGGCAGCGAATGTGTTACAGTTGTAATTACACCATGATGCCAGGGATGTAGGCCTATACCACACACTCATGAATTTCCTCTTAAGATGTTTTTTCCCACTTCCAAACGTGTTAAATCATAACTACCTAGACGTTTATAAGACAAAACATAGACAACGTGCTCAGCATGAACTTGGATGGTTTGAATTCGTTTAAATTGCACCATGCTTAGTGTAGCTCTTGGCAATAGAAATAATAAATATATAGAAACGTTTATATTCAACAGCAACAATACTTACAGCACATACAAACAAGGAATGTCTGACAGTTTTACAAACACCATGGGTCCCTCATTTTCTATACAGATGAAATATTTTCCACTTATGCATCATACATAAAATGAGTGCCATAACTACGAATCTGTATCAAATCTAGCAGACTACATAGTGTCCGGTATATATTATATATAGACATCACCTCAGCAAGTGCCTATAAAAGAAAAGGAAAGAAGGAAAAACAGAAACTGGAACATGCGTTGTCTTATCTGGATACTTCTGGGATCCTGTCAGAAACACATAGGCACGAGTCCAAAAAGAAAAGAAAAGTCAATCTTTTCATTATAACAAACTTTGTACACATGTTATAAACCGATGCACATGTGGCATCACATAATCTATCATAATATACATCGTGTGTGCGTGCGCGTGTGTGCGTGTGTTTATATATACTGTATATATATAAATGGCATATATTACATTTGGATGAATCAGTAGAGCCGATGTTAAAAGAACAGTAAGTGGTAGCAAGATCAGCCTAACTTTTGCCGTTCTCCTAAGTGAAATTCTTAGAAATAAGTTATTTGCTTGACACCGTCAATAAATACAAATAAAATTAAGTAAATCGGGGCGAAAAAACATGTTGCAATGAATTAAAAGACCTTCGCAGCGATTAAACGCTGCTACTTTCTTCGGTTTTTTATTTCATGTTGTTCTAATAGCCTGTAAGGAGCTAGAGGGGAAAAAATAACAATAATCAGAAACAATAATGTTGCACATCTGTTAAGTTGGACTCAGTCTTTTGGAAGTTCTTTGAGGTTTCGCCTTTGAGTCAGACTCAGAAAGGGAGGGTGTCGAGGAAAAGCTTGTCAATTATTGCTGGCGGAGGGACTAAGTCCTCTAGCTTTAGGTAAAAGATACGCTGCAGACCTTGGGTACATAGTGTGCGCAGTTCGGGGAGCTTTCCCAAGAGTTTTGACAGGTAGTTGGGACGATTCAAACCCCCGCCATTGAATGTCACTTGATCTTTGAGGCAGTTGACTATCTTGTTTTGGAGATCCTCGACTCTCTTGGGTTCCTTAAGCCCGTGTCGCTCTGAAAATAGGATAAAGAAATTAGTTAAATTCGTACTGATGTTCGCTTTGTTAAGTATTCACTGGAAGGCGCGCGCGCTTCGGGCAGGCTTTACGCACCTGTCACCATGGCCAGAGCTGCGATGCAGGAGAACGCAGAGATATCTATGTTCATACTCTGTAAATTGGAAGAAAACTCAACGATGGCGTCTACCCATTCTCCAAATCCGCGGACACACTGCAGTCTGTGCAACACCACTCCATTACAAAAAATAAGTTTCCCTTCCACTGGATTGGACCTGCAATTAAAAAACAAAACGCCATTAATTACGCTCGGCAATAAATGGATATTTAAGAGCCTTCTAATTATTGGGCAGCTAATAAAGCCCGAAGCAATGAAGCTTGAAGGAGGCTTGCTGATTATCTATTAGTCATGATTGTTTTATTTAGCAATTACTCAGCTCACCTGTACGCCAGCCGCAGGACGAAAAGTTCGAGAAAGGCGGATTCAAAGAGGAGATCTTGATCCTGTTTCGGTAGATCAGAAAAGCCAGGGATCTTCTCTGCCCAGCCCCGGATGATCTCCATGGAGCCCGTCAGGAGATCGTAGAACTGCTGGATGTGCTGAGTGTTGTCTCCAGTCATTTGGTAGTCAGGGTTTGCCTGGAACTGGAATTTAATTTAAACAGAGCCTTAATGAGGTCCTTTAAAATATATAATCCGTGAAATTGCAAATGCCTTTTTCCAGGAGGCAGTGAGAGCTTTTAGCTATTAAACTCATGTCTTTTTTATTAACTTTTGCATTTAAACGTAGATCACTTAGAATATGCCAAATTAAAAGCCTGACAAAGTTTAGAATTCTGCAACGTATAACAGAAAACTTTCAGGGTGGTAAATTTCGCAGAGCAAAATTTAAAAGACCGTTAATCTTCTGCTGTACGTTTCTCTTTCTTTTCTTTTTTTCTCTTAGGATTTTTTATGCTGTGTCTTTCTCTTTTTTATTGTTGGAGACGTTGTTTTTACTTACTCTTGAGTAGTCCAGAGCAGACATGGAGGGGTTGGAGTCCACATGGGCCCTCACGAGCGCGCTTATGAGGCTCACCGGCGGCGAAGGTGGAGAGGGCTCCTGGGGACTTTTGGGTTTGGATGGTAGGCGTCCTCTTCTGCCTTTCAGATTATCTGTTCGGACAACTGCATCGGTGGAAATATTAAATTAATAAACGCATACACTCCAAAAGTTGTGCGCAAGGCAATGCTTGTGAACAAGTTAACAAAACAAATTCAGCATCCACACTCCGTAATCTGCAGCTCCGAAATAAATTATTACATGCTCTAAGCATACCTTCTCTCACCATTCCGACAACAAGGCACTTCTGGAAACGGCAGAACTGGCAACGATTTCTTCGGCGTTTGTCAACAGGACAGTTTTTATTTGCTAAACACACGTATTTTGCATTCTTCTGAACGGTGCGCTGCAAAGAGAGAAATAAGAGCACTATTTAGGCCTGTTTCCAAGGTTTTAAAACAGGTTTAAACTTTATTTGTGCTGCAAATGAAATTAGATCCGAAAAAGAAAATGTATTAAAACGATACAAAATAAATGCCATCTCAAGTTTGGGACCGGGGTGTGAGAACCAACAAGGAGGAATAGACCAGCAAACACACGTTTGTGAACGTTCATATTTTGCTTTTTCTTCTGAGGTCAGCGTGTGTGGATTAGTGTGCCAGTCGTGAAGTTGTTTTGTGCATACATACTGAAAGCTGTTCCTTAATTATGTTAAGCCTATAGCTCGCAATATAAATGTGATTCTATTAAGCGCTTTTTATGACTTCTCAAAGAATGTTGGCATAATTTAACACGTGGCCCGGCGAAGGAATAAAATAGGATAGAGTCTATCGTTCATGTAAATACAGTAACACTCTTTCACGGTTACTGTCATATCAGCCCACCTTGAAAAATCCTTTGCAGCCCTCGCAGGTTCTCACTCCATAATGCTGGCAGGCTGCGTTATCCCCACACACCGCGCACAGACCCTCGTTTGACGGAGATCCTCGGGACGGGGGCGATGGCACTTGGCTGTCCACCAGCTGGTGCCCGTGGCTGAGCTGCAGGGAGTGCGGGAAGGCCAGGCCGGCCTGCTTCCGGATGGCGCTGGGCACCGCGAAGCTCTGCGCGTCCAGGCCGCGGTGCGCGCCCGGGTTGTCGTGGTTCATGGACACGTGCAGCGGCCCGTCGAACCGCATCTGGCAGCTGGAGACAGGCGTGCCGGGCGGGGACTGCTTGAAGGAGAAGAGCGAAAGCCTGGACACCGGATTCTTGCGCTGGTCTATCATGTGAGACGTGGCCGCGACGTAGTTCTGGTGGAAACTGTGGAGGGAGCCCGGGTCCTCCCACATGTGATTAGGCTGAACTTGGAAGTTTGGAGTACTCGGGGCGTGGGGCGAGGAGGGTTTGAAGTACATAGGCCCAGAATGAGCGAGCATTTCTTCCGACTGAGGCGTCAAGTGACTCTGCTGATGGTAGTTATGCATTTGGACATCCTCCACTTTGATAGAGGACTGCTCTCCAGAGTGGGGCATTTGATACAGACAGGGCGGTTTGACGTCGTAACTGGTGTTATAGTTGTCCATGAATGTGCTGAAACTCGGGAGAGAAGTTGTGGCTGTGATCTCAGTGTTGGTCAAGTCCATGCTAAACTTAACAAACTCAGGTGTTAAGAAGTCGCAGCTGTATTCTCCTGCGGCGTGGTAGCTGTAGCTCTGGGAAGCAGGACTGGCTCCTTGAGGTGATGATCCATACTGAGCCTGAACGCAGGGCATGGCTGAGAACCAGAGCGATAGATAATATGTTAGTTTAAATTAATGAATCTGGAGGCAGGGGTGTATTATTCTAAACAAGCCATTGTATCTATGTATTTTTAAAGAAATGACAGCCGTAACACATGAACAGTTTCTTTATAAAACTGGGATGATTTATCCATATCCTACCTCAAGTCTTCTGACAGTTTTCCAGTGACTCTTGAAATGGGTAATGTCAGGAGTTGTGTGGGTGTCAGGATTGAAGAAAGCGTCTCTCTTCTGGATATTTCCCTAATAAAACACATACTTTTGACAGTTACTAGATTATAATATAAAAACAATTTTTAAAAAATAGCATAATCCTAACAGAGATTAAAATCCTCCTACAGTTCAAACGCAAACAATTTTCCAACATAAGATTCTGACAGTTGTAGAAAAAGTGTGTGATTTAATCAACATCAGAAATCGCCTTTTTCTTGCTCTCTTTAAAAGTGCCAAGTGGATGGACACGAAGAGACCAACTTTGCGCACTTGTCAAACTCGTCAGAAAAGCAGAAAAACTCTATATGTTTGCAGCAAATGTCTGCCAGAGTCTAATGCATAAAAATTCTGAGCCAGATCCAAATTGTGTACTATTCTGATTTCAAATCAAAATGAAAAATGTTTTAGAAGAACTCGATCCGAGCAAAAGCGCACGACAGACTCTGTTCCAAAAGAAAAAAAAGAGCGATAAATCTTACCTTTTTTACATCAGGATCGTTGCTCTCAGTCCATGCGATAAGCATGCAGATGGTATTCATCAATTTTGGTAAAAGCTCCAAATCGCGGGCATCGGTGCGAACAACGCTAAGCAGGCAAACCGTGTGACTCAGCGCACTGACAGCGACGTGAGCTTCAACTATCCAGTCTGGCCAATGTGGCTTTGTTTATGTGAGCTCTGGATACCGTGGCCCACGTGTTTCGCAGCACCACGTCATCGGCGTCGCCACCGACGCGGACCAATCCGCTTGGGAGCTTTTTCAAGCCCCAATATTTCTGGTGAGTATGTTTGTCTTGTGGTATGCGCTGTGTGTTGCTTCCCACATGGACATTAGCAGAGATATAGTAGAGGCTAAAGCCACCAAAAGTCAGTTCTGACACCTCTGGGTTTGCACTGGATTCGTGTCATACCAGCATAAGGATGGCACATGGTTTCACTGGGTGAAATCTCAGGTAATTTGTAATCAATTTTCTTCTCTGAATTTCACATGCAAGGTTATTACTTGCAATAAACTCTCCTAAAATAAATCAGTTCTCTTCTTGGTTGCAGCAGACTTCCAAAAAATGGATTCCAGCCAATTAATGGTTTCAAAAAGTGCATAATTGCCAACAATCATGAGTTTGAACTCACATCACTTCACATTGAAACACCTCTGCTGACTTTATTGGACTTGGTTTCTTGCCTTATGATGTAATCTTTGATGAGTGTACATTGGCACATCAGGCGCAGTCACGTCACAATGAGGCTGATACGCCAGCCTCACTGCTCCTGCATGAAACAGGCCTAATGAAGCGGGGGTCAATATTATTCTTTGTTATCTTCTGACAGGATTTCTGTATTTCAATTGTGTTCCAAATTTAGACCTCAGATAGGGTGGGGTCTGCGAGGTGGGCTGCCTATTCATAGCGCTGGTGAGCTGCCGGAGGAGGAAGGGGGGATAATTAGTGGGCCTGTAGCCAGTTGTCATGAGGGACCCAATTTAGTCCCCAGAGAGGGAAGCGTGATAGGAGCGGGCAGAATGGAGTGACGCAGAAAACGCTCAAGTTGACGCAGTCGCCAAAATAATCTTCATGCCTTATTGTTCTGCAGCGATGAAAGAACTGATCTGAGTGTAATCTTACACCAACACCTTGCAGCCAATGGAGTTGGCCTAAATCTTTCTAGGTGCACGCTGGCCCGCGCAGCAAAGCCCGGGAGAGAGGGAGAGGGAGCAGATGCGGTGAGGGATGAGCTCCACGCGCTACAGCCAGCAGTGCAAAGCAGCTTCATCACACAGCGCCGATGTGCTGATGCTCTATTATACAAACCGTAGCTGCCACCAGTCCACAACAGCACACCACGCACCATAATGCACAACAAACGCACGATGAGAGAGTTGGGAGGACGTGCACCTACAGTCTGGCTCACCTCTAGTGGTTACACTCTCCTCTAGAGGACACTATTGTTCACCAGCCATACATCACCCAGTTCTACTGGAACTCATAATTAGACAAACCCCATTATGTGGGTTAGCTCAAGTGAACTATATGATAACAAGTACACACTAAATTGCAGTACCAGCTCTCAGTCCCATAACTTGACATTACAGGATTAATTGTGCATCTAATCCATCTTTACATTTACAAAAATATATCTAAAGTCCTATGTAATTTTTCAAGGTAACTGGCTTGCTGTATTTTTTGGTAAAGCTTTTGTAAAGTGGACACTAAAACACATATTCCTCTGCATATCAAAAAATATTTTAGTGCTACTGCAGCCCAAAACAAAATCAACAGTTTTGTTTAAATCTCTGCATGGTCACACTTTGTGTATTTATATCCATTTACCATTTAGAAATGAAATGAAAACACAATTAGCAGTTTAATTGACCATTTTACTGAAGAACAATTATCTTCCCATTTATGCATGAAGTTAATTGGCAGTCATTGGAAAACAAGAAGTTTGTTTTACTCACACATAAGTTATTCCTTTAGATTATACTCTAACTTTGTTTGAAGGAATGTTTGCTGACATTAACTGTATAATGTTTGAGCCCAGTGTGTGTGTGTGTGTGTTAGATAGAGATTAATCTTTTTTTAATGGCTCACAGATCTCAGAGTTTGATTTGTTATTTCCATGTTTTGTGGCAAGATGAAAGTCTCACAGATGTCTTTATAAAATAATTTTTTTGTACGTCAAACGGACTTAAACTACAGTCAGACCAGCAGGTGCCAGTCCACGAGTAATTCAGCCAACCGTATGTGGTTTTAATGGCTGCATCTTCATCCTGGATCCAAAAGTTACTCCCATGATCCAAGTTATATCAGCATAAAAGGTCATTTGCCCCCAGTTTGCTCATGGTTCTGGTATTAATTGCTTCCATAGGCACCAGTTAGCTTTTGGCCAACATGAGATGGTCAGTTTTTATAGTAGCCTAAAACTTTAATATTCCCAAATGTACAGCTACAGTACATATGCAGACGTGTGGTAGAGGCTTTTCAGTTGGGAAATCAACCTGTGATAAACTTGTATGTTATTGTTTTGTGGTATAAATATGTAGACTACAAACTTCATTTTCTAAGAAGTTGGTGAACTTTCGAAATGTCACTTTTCTTCTATTTGTAGAGTTCTATAAAACTTTAAGTAACAGAGAAAGAAAAAGATGTTCCTAGTTCCTTTTAGAACATATAAACACATTTTAAGTGCAATTCAAGTAAAATTCTAAAAGAAGGTTGAGACAGAGGAATGTCTGCCATTGTGTTATCGCTCTTCTTTCTAATTGCACGTTTGAAGTGCCTGAGAACTACAGATACTTGTTGCTTCAGTGTTTCAATGGAAATGTTCAGACAGGCCGGCCGGGCACCCACACACGCCGGGTCAGCGAGGTCATGAGGGACAGGCTCTGGCTTGTTGAAATGAAACCAGACCTCCATCTGTGGTAGCCATCACACATATCCAAGTCAACTGCACCGTGAGCACTGCTGCTTGTTTTTTTAAATCCCCGACACTTAAAAGCAGATATCAATCCTCCCCAAAAGAAGTAGAAAGCATCCAACAGCAGAACATTTGTCCACAGACTTTTTTGTCCACCTGAGATGAGCTCCTGCACACAGAACTTTGCATAGCTTCACTGAGGTGTTGATATATGGCTTCATCCCTACATAATACAGTTTACGGTTATATTTCTGATGCGGCGGCAGCCTGTGTTGAGTGGCGATGGTTTTCCGAGGTACTCTCCAGCACATGTGGCCATATTGATCATGTTAACAGACAGTTCCTCATTCAGAGCTATCTGACGGCTCGAAGGTCACGACATTCAACAATGGTTTCTGTGTAGGACGATTTTTTTCATCTTCTCAATTATTTTCCCATTTACTTTGAAAAATATTCCCAATTCAGACACTCTTAACTGACATCTATTAATCTGCTGATTGCAGGATCTTCTGGAATCATGTTACTATGTAGCTTCTCTTTCATGTTTTCTGTGTAGTTACTTAAAATACTTTATTTTAAACCTCACTATTGCTTAGAAAAATGTGAGTCTTTATAAAGTTGTAAATAAAACATGAAACTAGTTTAATAAACCAATATGCAGCATCAGGACTCATCCAAGGTGTACTGTATCAATAGATGTGGTGTGTTATTTAAAATTCCACTTAAATGAATGAAGCATTCCCTGAAAAGATGTTTTCTGCAGGAAAACATGGAGACGTCCTACAAATGCCTTTGTAGACCTGTAAAAATAGTTTAAGTAGATGTCATGTAGTACAACAAACAGGAGAAAAAGGAAGAAACAAAAATAGATCTTGCAACGGATTCACAAGACTCAGAAAATTGTATTTCCCTTTTAGAACTAATTAGAAACATATGGGTGTACAGGATGAAGGTCTGATGAATTATTCTGCCTCAGCCACCCCAAAACCATAATGCAGGCACACAGTGTGCTGAGGGGTTTGATGACGCTGATTTTGTTTTTGTGAAAATACCGTATGTGTTTGTTGTGGCTTCATTGTACCCAACATGAAACAGTAGAGGATAAATGTGCTGGTCACTTTCACCTCCCTCATATCATGTCTTCGAAAGGCATCAAACTTTGTGAGAACTGAACATTTGAAGCCTGAAGGCATTCCTTTGCCCAGTTTCCTCTCTCCATTTCTAGATTCCTACTTTACAAGCTTAAACGTCTACTTAATATGCTTTAATGCCTGCTCTTTAGAGCCAGGAAGCACTTCATCACTTTTATACACCTTTATATAACACACTGTTAACTAGCGATGCCTCATGGAACAGCTTGTCTTGCAGCTGGAAGGTGCCTCCATGGCATGATGGAGGTACCTGTTCACCATTCACAATGAGACGGTAAAATGGGAATAGAGGCCTCTGCCTACTGCTGCTGTCTATATCAGTCAATGATGAATATTCATGAATCACAGTGTCATGACATGCTCTGTAATTGGCAGCAACATTAGTAATGACACTGCTGGTATCAAGTCCCTGCATATTCATGTGGTGGGGCAATATTTCCTCATGGTGGTGTTTTTTTTTTTTTCTTCCAATCCTCCTGAAAGTGAAAATGTATTCTGAAGCTGCAGGTGTCCCTGCTTCCACAATCAATTGCTGGCTGGATTGTGCCCCTGTGAAAATCAGACAAATCATTAGTTTCTTTGTCAGTTTCTTTGATTAATAATACATCTGAAATGTAAAAGGGTTTTCAAGGCTCTAAATGCTGTAAAGTGAATCTCTCTGTAATAGTTATGAATGTGGAACCAAAAGACTCTTATCGATCCATGCTAGTGCTGCTGGCTATTGGGCTATTACAGGATGATGGGTAATATCAATAATTCAGTTATTACAAAAAAGTATATATATACAGTATATATATATATATATATATATATATATATATATATATACACAAATTACTTTCTTTTTTGTAGTGTATGAAAAATATGCTTGTGCTCTATGCTTAATTCGGTTAGTCTTTCATGTTAAGGGTTTGAAGTTTTTGAATTTTGCAGTTTGCCCAGTTGCAGTTGTGGTTTCCTCGGGGTTGGTTTAACTCTGATGGTTGGCATAGTGCGGCAGATCTCTTTTTGAGCTGGAATTTGCTGTCATTCCATTTCGGCCCCACTAAAGTGTCGTAGAATGGATAATGAGAACATTGGATCAGGCTTTTCCTAAGCTGAAAGGCTTTTTCCTCTAAGTAGCTGGAGGGATGGATTTTTTTTCTCATGGGCTCAGTCTGCTGTGATGAACCATCCAG